CTGCCTCGTGGGTCTGCACCGTCGCCCCAAAAACAGGAATGGCGTGTTGCGGCTTGCCTTTTATAGGCCGGATGTCGTATGCCTGCGGATTTTTACGTCCTTGCGCATCCGTTCATCACGGCCTTGACGTTTCCCCACTTTGAGGTGCCATCGGGACACAACCCTGCGCCTGCGTGGCTGCAGTTGCCACCATGGTGCCTCGCTCGGTACCGCTAGATGGCGCTGCAGTACCTTTGTAAATTCTTGGCGCCTTCCGTAGCGCTGCCACCTTTTATTCTTCGTGACCAGCCCGATGCAACAATGTATATGATTTGTTCTTATCGATCTCAATAAATAATTAGATTTTATTATTTAAATATTCTGCTTATTGCATTCAAACTTCGATATTTTGGTGGTATCGGTGGCTTCAACTATCGAAAGTTTTACTCTAGCAAATTGAGATGAGAATTGTCAGTGCTTTTTGATCGTGGCTCATCGCTGCACGGCATTGACACGAGTGCCGTGTTTCATATTCCGAGTTTGTGCGTGACCGTATTGACTCAATATGGCACGAAAATACTCAAATGTGAATTTAAAATTAGGATATACCCTTATAATTATTCCCCCTTTTTTGCAAATCGTCTATCTTAAAACGTTGCGTTATCTCTATATATAAAACAGTTTGCGCTGATAATTGGTGATCAACGCACAGCCCAAACGGTAAAAGATGAAATTTGGACTCAAGTATCCTTTCATAGTATCCATCATAGTGTAGGAGCACACTAAGAAAGGCTTTTGGAAAATTCTAGCTCCAAAGGGGGGAAAACGAGCTTTAAAAAATATTAGTTATAGTGGTCATGTTCGTTTAACGAAATAGTTTGGCAATAACAAAAATGTAACGGACTACTGAACAATTTTTTGTCAAGAACAGAAAATGTTCATTTAAATACCTTAAATGCCTTCCTACTGGTAACTTATAAGGTGAAAACATATGGGTAGGTTATGCACACACAAAATAAATACAATTGGAAAAATTATATTGAGCCGGGTTAAGACGGGCAATACCTGCTAGTATTACATAAGTCTTTTACAATTAAGTATTCACATCTTATATTATGGTTTCAATATAATGTGCCAAAGGGTAACTTTCTAAGTTATTGGAAAAATAATAAGCATCGTGTCTATAACTGAACTGATGTGGACTTGATTTACATTTTTTTAGTTTTCAAAATATTTTTAAGCGCTCTACCCAAAAGAGTTGTTATAACAATATCGGAATAACCATTATTGGTAACCAGGTTTTCCAACTTTTTACTGCACGTTCACGGATAGATGTCCGTCTATAGGAACACAAAGATCACGAAAAGAATTCAAATTTTTATGTTTATATTTTCCTAAGATCCTTTTTTCAAGGGTTACGTAAAAATTTGTATTCTTTTCTTTATTAATTTTGCTGTTATTATTACAAAAACTTTTATAAATGCGTTGACAAAAAAATGCAATCAACTTTAAAAAAGATGAGGTTATTTAAAACTAAACACTAGAAATGACTGTTGGGAACTTAAAATCCAAGTGGAACAAGCCGATTTTTTTCGATGCCGACCCTTCCTCTTCTCCCAATTATGGTTTTTCCGTAACAATTCTTGCACAACCAGGAGGAACAAGAATGGATTGGAGTGTTGCATGAGTTGCGTGCTCACAATGCTCGATTCTCATATTGTATTGTGGCATCTTTCTATTCAAGTTACACAATTTCAGTTCATCGCACTGAGTTTCACATGCAGCTTAGTTTCCTAACAGCTTGTACTACTTGTATCCAACCTGCATATCACTTTGCTTGCTTGTTTTACCAACTCACTCAATTCTAGTTTTATAAAACAGCGAAAGCACCAACTAACCATAATAACAACAGTAACAGTAAGAGCAACCACAGAACAACAACAACAACAACAGCAGGCAATGCTGTGGCTAATCAACAGCGGTCTCAACCTAAGCACCGCTCTCAACCTTAACAAATAGCGACGAAAATTGCAACAAATGTGTTACGAATAGTTCGTGATCGTGGCATGACAGAATGTCGCCAGCAACAACTGCAACTGCAACAGCAACAGCAGCAGCAGAGCTCGCAGCAACAAGCCTGAAAAATCAAGCAAAGAATGCTACGAATACGGCTTAGGTTCGTTCAACGAGGAAATCGTTGGACGCTGAACGAATAACATCACGAATTAACCTCTTAACAGCCTGAGAGATTCGGAGCCGACATCGTAGCCAGTTGAGCGGGCAAGCGACAAAGCTCGAAGTAAAGATGACGATGACGGCGTCTCCGACGCTCAAACGTTGACAACAAAGTTGCAATTGCTGGGCCAAAAAGGAAAAAAGCAAAAAACAGCAAACGATCAACAACAGCAACAAAAACAAGATTAGCGCGTTGATTAGGCAGCCGAAATGCCGCTGCTGCGGTTTCTTGTTTTTTGTAAACTGAATGCTGATGCTGCTGTTGTTCTGGCTTGGTTGTTATTGCTGATGGAATAAATTGCAGACATTATTGTTGTTGTTGTTGTAAGTGGCTGAAGCTGCGATTTAGCCACACTCATAAAATGAAATCGTTGGAAACAGATCGTGTCACTAGTTGTTACAAAATACTTGTAATTCGAGGGCTCGGTTTGGAGCCGAAACCGAAAAATTAACAGAGACAGAAACAGCAAAATATTCAGCAACACAGGCAATACTTAGATCGAAAGCAATAGCGCAAACTTTCGTGCCAAAAGCTTCCTTCACTACGCATATAAAGTTGTTACAGTTTTCTATGCAATTGCTATAAAATAGAAGTTTTCCATGGCTACCCGCACGCTCATTATCGTGTCCGTGTAATATTTCCCCAAGTTTTGTCATTTGGCATATGTCTCATGCATTTGGCTCTCCATTCCAGCACACACCTTCTATTCCATCCCATATACTTACTGCCAGCTATGCAAACTATGCAAGTTCTGGTCTCATATGTATATACTTGCATGTAAGTATGTATGTATGTGTGCATGTCAGTTTTGCGCTCGCGGACAATGGCAGAAAGTTTGTTGTATAGTATGCCGTTCAAGTGAAAGTCCTAGTTGTCCTGCTCATGCTGCTGCCGCTCCCGTTACCGCCACCACCACCGCTCGAAGCGTTTTTCAAGAAGTATAACTTTAATGATAATGACATTTGCTGAAAAAGTAGCGCAATGTTTAGAATACGCCAGCGCTAATGCGTCGCTTCCAAAAGTTTTCTCATACAGAACAGGGACAATTGTACAGTCGTCACAATACAACAAATTGTTTAAAGTACATTTTCCTTAATTCTTCGTTCTTAAAAAGCTTAATAATATGACGGTTTAGTATTTGAATCAGATTGCCTATCTAAAATTAAATAGTTATCACAGAGATTAATATATATATATTGGTCTGAATTTTTGGTAGTATTCATATCCCTATGAAAAAGGTTAAGGTTGTTTTTTAATTTGTTTTTTAATGGGTTTTTTGCATGGCTGTTATAGTTTCAATATGGAAATTTGTAATCTGTAATTTCCTAAAGGATATGACTATTTTGATAAATCCTGTAAATGTTTGCAATAATGAGAAAATGTTCCTTTTGGCCCTAAAAATAAATCGAGCTACGCCACTGCCCAAATGCTAGCAAATGCTCTTGTGGGATTTTCAAATTCACTCGGCAGCGTCGCTCAAACTTTGGCACAGAGATATGAAATGGCAACGAGTTGTGCAGAGTTTTGTATTGCAAACTTTTTAACGTGTTGGCTAGGCAATATAACGTTGATATGAAGTAGTACACATACAAGTATACTACACAAGTATATTTTCATGTAACTAAAAAAAAAGAAGATGAATGATATTGCAAATTTAGCAGAATCTTGTTCACAGCTTTATACATGAATAATAAGCTTTAAACGCCAATTACAAAACGTCGATAAAATTAGAGAAAAAGAGGAGGCGTTGTGCTCATTAGCCCCACTATGGAAATGAACAAAAATAGAACCAACCAGCGCTAACAAAACGATGCCAGAGGTGTCAAGTAACTGTAGTAAGAGTGAGAGGTAAGTAAGCCAACTGGCGTTGGCCTTCAGAACATTTTGCTCAGCTGGCCATCAGTCGCCAAAGTAGAGTGCAGTTGTGGAGCCTTTCGTTTTATTGCAAATACTGCACCATTTTTCCATTAAACTCGGTTGACCGGCAGGCGTAATACTTTTCGCATTCTACATGAACAGTCAATACTTTCTAAACTCCGCGCCTGCAGTTGTTTTATTACAAGTTACAATTTCCTCAGACGCTCAGAAAGCGTGCACGAATACAAAATTTATTGGGCAAGCAGTCTGGGGGACAAAAAGTACCTTTATTCAGTCGAGTTTCTTTGGTGTATAAATCGCTGCTCACAGATCCGCGATGAACACTCAAAATAGGAAAATTTCGCCTACATGTATAAATACATACGTTTAATACCTGGATTATTGTTAGAAATTAGTTAGAACGAATTTGTTTTAGTTTTGTGCATTGACATTTAAGCAAGGTTGCTTAAATTACATACTTTTAAATTTATCGGCACCCAAATTACGGTTTCCGTATAGAGGTTTTAAAAATTTCTGTAATTTACAGCATACTTTCAGGCTGCTATCAAATTGAATACAGTCGATGGTTGCTCGAAAAAGTATGCAATATTTAAACGCACATCGCTCTGTGGCGCATATTGTAACAGATTCAGTAACATTAACATAACCAATAACATTACAAGTAACATAATTAATAACATAATCAGTAACATAAGCGTAATCGGCAATCAATGCTTGAGTCAAGACGCCACAACAAAGCAGCAAGCGATGCTTTATCTAATGCAGAGATTTTAGTTCAAGTAGGCTTTGTTTATAAATTGATTTTCTATAACAACAATAATAACGTTTCCGAGATAAATTGAAACTTTTGCTTTTGTGAAAACAAAGATTTCGTTCGACAATATTTTCAGATTAGCGTTAAGTATTTTGCCAAATTTTAATTAAATCTAAGCAATATGCCGAATGAGTCGCGTCGTCCATCACGTGCCTCTCATGGAGCTGATTTGATGGAAGTTGTTGTGCGACCAAAAAAGTATTATCGCGTTAGCCATACGGGCCCGATTGATCCAAACCGGACTAAAATTGTTGTAGATGTCGGGGAGACGTGGCGCATACTTAAAAATGTCGCGGTTCTATCGATTGCCATGATGACGCAGTACGTGGCATACCAGGTGAGAAATTAATATTGGTAATTCGTACAGCGACTATAATGATCGATAACAGGGAACGCTTAATCTTCAATCCTCCCTTAATGCGGAAGGTGGCTTGGGAACCATTGCACTATCCGGTATATATTTGTCGATGGGCGCATCCTGCCTAGTTCTTCCGACCCTTATGATACGTCGGTTGACTTGTAAATGGACCTTGGTCATAGGAATGATCTGCTTCATTCCTTATATAGGGTTTCAACTATTTTCGAAGTAAGTATTGGCACAGCTCTATGTTGGCCCCATCGCAATTAAGTCTTTTTACTATTTTTTTTTATCAAGATTCTATACCTTAATACCGGCGGGTATCTTATTAGGAGTTGCTGCTGCACCCATGTGGGCTGCACAGGCTACATATTTAACTCAAGTCAGTCAGATCTACGCGATTTTAAAAGGCTCCAATGTAGATGCTGTAATAACTTTATTTTTCGGGGTGTTCTTCTTCGCGTGGCAGAATGCAGATACAATAGGCAATTTGCTTTCCAGTGTAGGTGAGTAAGCGCGGCATAAAATCGACATCGGTATTGAATTTGAGAGAAACGCCTGAAATGGAAATCCGCGGATTAACTAGCAATAGTTATATAGAATCCAATGAAAGCTTATAACACAGCACATGAAAATAATAATTAGTAAATAACTTTGGCAGCACTTTGTTATTGTGCGTACTAACTATTACTCACTAAACTTTACTACAATTTCATATATCAACCCTAAAATAGGTTCCCTAAAATAAGGTAAAACAAGTGGAAAAGCTAAAGTCGGGTGTCCCGACTTTGAAAAACTCTATACATATAATTAGTACATACTTGTATGTGTAATAATTATAAAAACACAGCACAAAGCTGAAATAAAACAAACTCTTATAATGTACACACATGGGGCATATGCGTATAAAATTTGGTGTCTCTATTTCTGAAAGTCTCTGAGATCTAGGACGGACAGACGGGCAGACTGGCCTAGATCGACTTGTCTTGTCATGCTGATCACGAATATATACTATATACTTTGTAGGGGTCTGCCACGTCTCCTTTTACCTAATATACTCGTGTACATTCACATGTACAGAGTATCATTTGCATTGCTTTCAGTTTGATAGCTATTTTCAGCTGATGAAGAAGTAGATCTACTTCTACTCTTAAGTAACTCTATTGTGGTTGGCATATTTTGAGAGGATTTTTTAGCAGGTGAAAATGTGAAGCAAATTACTTCTTTTTTTCTGCAGCTTGTAAAGTAGGTTGGAAAAGGCGACGGGGCTGGACTTGTTACTGAGGAAAATGGTAAAAGTATAAGTTGCCTTCAAAGTATGCTAAGCTTGTACAGAAAGAAAACTTAAAAACTTTTTAATGTCGGGGTTGTGTGTCCCTGTGTGGCACTAAATTTTCTTTTTCGAAGGTATTGCGACGGAATGTAGCTTAAGTTGTATGTATCCATGGTGCTAGCAATAGGTGTGGGGTACCATTGCGAGTACTATCTATCTAGAGCTATGCATTTATGTACTCAGACAAAGTACAATAGGAGTAAGATTATAGTCTACCAAATGATGCCATTGTAGTCCAAGTTTCAGTATCCTGCTCCGTAATGTAGCTTCGTCTTTTGTCTGTAGTTCCATGTGTCGTTCCCCGAATTTTGTATGCAAACTGCGACTGTGATAGCAGCCGCTCTTACCGTTTTTTAGAAAGAAATACTACCATTATATAGAGTGTTGGCTCTATACCTGAGCAGCGAACGTTAAACAATGTTAGGTTTCCTCTTTTTACTTACAAATTGTTCATTATGAAATCCGTTTGAAGGACTTAACTTTTTTGTGATACCTCAAAAAAATATGTCGGAAAATATGTTAGAGTTTTGGCTCAGGCCTATTTTAATAGGTACTAGTGCCCTACCTATATAACCTTGAAAGTTGTTTCTTAAATGCTAAATAATGACAAAGTTTCCAAGTTCCCTCTGGCAACATAGGGCTCGAAAGTAAAAGTGAACATACATAGGTCACGTTTTTTTCTGAAATGGGGAATATTTTTTTGTCAAGGTGGAAGAGCCGCCTTAAGTGTGGAAATATGGAGAAATGGATAGAAGACTTTGATTTGGTTTGTTGGCCCGCCTCAAGCTTTGTGTATTTTTGCGGAATAACAATTCCCCAATTGTCGCTCATTTACTAAGCGGCTTGCACTTGTGCAATCGGCTATATTTATGGAGAGGCGGTCTCTATGCAAGAGTACAAATGAAATTGTTTTACAGCGTCTCGTGTAGTTTTCTTAAGGATAACGAGCGACACCAGCAGCTGTTCGCAGGGCTCGCCAGGGTTGAGTAAAAGGCAATAGAATGCCGGCTTGTGTTGAGCACGAGCACGGCGTGTTGCTCGGAATTTGTAATTGCAATGCCAGTTAATTAAATACAGTTTTACTTTATGTGCTTCTTTCAATTCGTTTGTTTCGTTGCTAGCTGGTGCTGTTGTTTATGTTTCGAGTGCGCTATTTTACTTTATTTTTCATTTAGCTTGGCTCCTTGTTGGCTACATTGTTCTATTTTCCTGCCTAGATAGATGTGCACAGAAGCATTGTGTGTGCAACTGCATCGAGGACAGCGATACCAACAGCGACGTGTTTTACGAGCATGTGGCATGTGCAGTCAGTTCTTGTCAAGCCACTGTGCATGGAATGCATTTTGATGAGCTAGGAGCCTGTTATTTAAACAACACAATATTTGCAATGAAAGATTATAACACAAGTATTTTGAAACATTTGGTACTCTGGTTCTATAAATCTTAGTTGCTTCTAGTTGCCCGTGTGATACCGATATCCGCATATATGAAGAGTCTTGCAGAGACAAAAATATTGATTTATTTATTTTTATTGATTAATTTATTTCATCGACAAACAAAACTGTCAATTTGAAAAAATCAAATCGATACAGTACTTATACTAGATAAAACTGAAGAATAGTAAAGCCTGTAGAAATAAGAAAAATATCTAATAACGAATCCGACTCGGTGGGGGAATTTTATTTGCCAAACGGCCAGCTATACCCTGATTCATAGCAGAGAGTAGTCAGAGATGTTATTAGACCTAACAAAAAGAAAAGAAACAATATCAATAAAAGATAAAGAAGAAAAATGATTAAATTAGAATAACAAATTAAACTTAGAATACTTAAATAATAAAAGATAAAATACAATTAAAAGCTAAAGGTGGAGAATCACTGACCCCTTGGGAGAAGATTTATTAGCCAGTCCGGCCAGCTATGCCCCGACTCACAGCAGTGGTGATCAGTGATTCTGCCGGAGGTAGCTGAAAATAGAAGATTTTAGTGAGGGAAGAGAGAGCTCACTTGAGATTAAACAGTAACAAGTATTATAATTAGAGCATAATACTCGATAGCAATATGTATTGTTCTTCTTTGTTGACAGAGCTTAAGCCTTTTACTGCACAGTCTGGATAACAGGAACAAAAGTTTCGAATAGCATTAATCACAGTCGATGTACCTCTCTAACTGTTTTCTGTCGCGATCCTATTCTAAAATGTGGAAAATACGTTTCTCCATGCTCGAGATTTCGTTTCCCTGCCGTACGACAAACGTCTATCGCCCTTAAATTGGTCAGGAGAGTGGTGGGCTATGCACAAATTTTGGCGCGAGTTTCCGCGCTTACGTCAAGCCTAATCCAGGATATGGAACCTGCCTATGGGACCCATCTCGACTTTGGAGCCATTGTAATTCTAAGCAGCAAGTTTAACATAAATTAAGTGGCATGGCAGAGCATAAACCTATACTATATAATGTCAGGGCGCGACTCACGCGCGCATTGCAATCAAATATTATTTATTTGATATTAACACATACAAAATGTTGTATAGTATAATGCCCTGGTTCTGGTACATCCACGTTAGCAGAGCCTCCAATAGCCGAGTGCTCACAAATTTATGTAAATTGTGCGCCTCTTGCTAGGAGAGCATTGCGCATAAATTGGCTTATTACGCCATAAATTTTATTTATTTTGATGAAATTTACACAACGCAGAAACGAAAGGCGATATTGAGGCGCAGGAAGTGTATAGGCAAGGCAGTATACATTGCGTAAGTTAAAGCGTAATGTTAAAGGAATTGAGCTTAAAGCTTTAAATCACAGATATCGTATAGTATAATGAGTAGCCATGTTGTTACTTGTTGACATTGTTATCTCATATGTATATGCCACATAACAAATTGAATATATAAAGCGTGTGAAATGCTTTTACAAGCCTTAATGGAAACGAGCCGCAAAGATTTAACCACGGCCCATAAAGCGGAAGCGCCATTGCATTCCATTGGTTTCCTGGAAAAGTTAGCTTGGGTGTTTATGGATTTTGATTGCTGTCGTGCAATGAGGCGGATGGAGCTTCGGCTGATGGAAGATAAGCAGCGTGCGTGAAACAACTGCGATGGGGAGGAGTAGAGGGCGACATTTTTTTATGAATGCAAGCGAACGGTTTTCCTTTGAAGGCCCAGGGAGTAGCGCAGGGTATATGAGCTGTGCTGATAAGCGCGTTCTATCATACCAAGAGATGGCCAAGATTTTAAATATGGGTGTGGAGCATATGGAGTATGAGACTTGAAATATGCGCAAGAAGCTGATTTAAAAGGCATTGACGCGTAAATTATGCCCGTCACAGAACAGGGCATTTGATGGTGTGGAAAAGTTAACTGCAGTCAAGCGGCTCATAAATCCCCATTAAAACGAAAACAAGGCAGTACCGCCCAGGAACAACAAGCAATTGCTTTGCAAGTATATGCAAATGGCAATGCAGCTCTAGCCTGCTCTCGCACACTTGAGCATCAATTAAAATGTAGAATTACTCTGATGTATAGGACGTTAACGTTCCCATCCAAATCAACCACACAATGCGAACTAAGAGAAATGCACACACAGCTAAAGGTTTTAATAAAATCCGAGGCATAGGGATTCAAGTAAGCCTCAATCTGTACAGTAAGGCTGCAATTGACAGGCAATGGGTGTAGTTATTGCAACAATTTCTAGTTGGTAGAAACACATAAAATCGGGTCGTCCTGTTGAAGTATCTGCCAGTCAGTTTCCTAGTTCGCTTACGGAGCAGTGTTGCTTATAAATTTTGTTGAAATCTAAGTAATTAATTGCGTGAATAAATAAAACGACTGAATGAGGCAAAATTAGACTAGAAGCACTACAGTTTTTTCACAAAAATATCATTTTTGGTCATCCGTTTTGAAACTTGAATGCGAAAAAGTGTTTGAAAATGTGTTTTAATATCTTTAATTGATGTATTATTATTAATTAAAAGCTTCAAATATGTTTTAATATCATGGCGATGATTTAGAATTAACATTTGTAGTTTTAACAAGAAAGGAATGCTAGAGTAGAGCGGGCTCAACTCTTCCATACGCTGTACACATTCCCAACAATAAGAAAATCTTGTGAATTTGCATTAATATGGTAATATAGGACACCCAAAAAAAAAGAATATGTAATGAAAATACTGCAGCAGTTACAAGTTTTTCCTAAGATTAAATATATATAAATTGCTTAGAGGTTTTGCCAACAGGGTACCCTGTTGAGTGCAAAACTTGGCTTAAATACGCGTAGCCTTAGAACTATGAGTATGACTCTCTTCATCCATCTCGATAGATGGACATATCAAGATCGGTTAATCTTACATAGAACCAAGTATACAACATTGTATTTTCGACTCATTTCTACGTGACATTGCTATTTTCTCTCCTTACATTGTATTGCATTGGACATCTACTAAATTTATTATCGACTCTTGGTTATACCCCGTAGCTGGAGGTTAAATACTATACAAGTATATACATGTATATATAGCATAAATATATGTATATACTTTTTGTAATATTTATCAATCAGTGCAATTACTATGACAGGCTCTTATTTAAAACCCATTTCCATCAGCAAGCCACTGGCTTTACAATGGCTCGAAAAAATAATTCCGAGTTTCTAAGCTCTACATTTTGCACCTAAAAAAGAGTATGATTTCTACGCAATCCAAGTCATAAAAGCGCATATGGAGTCTATCTTATGGGGTACAACCTCTAAATCGATCGGCTCCCATATTTGCTTCGTTCTGTTCTGTTTTTGCACCCAGCAATTTCAATTCGTTTAACTGTGTTAAATTAAATCACAAATCAAAAATCAATTACGGTTATTACGACTACGATTGCGACGATTTCCAATCTCTAAACGAGACCAATACCCCCACCACACTGTTTCCAAAGCTCTGCCGTAACTGCATGGAGAGCAGCAGCTGTGGCGTTGGCAGTCAACGGAAGTGCGGACTGTGTCCCGGTATCTGGGACCAAGGCGCCATGCGCCATGCGCCCAGCGCCCTGCTGCTTTTGCCATTTGCCAGTGACTTTTACAATTCTGTCACCCACCACCGCACGGCTGGGTTGGCTTCATCAATAATGATGTTATCAGTTACAGTTAGAGCAGGCAGCAGGCAGCAGCAGAAGCGGCATCGGCATCGGCACGAAATCGGGGGCGGCAGCCCACGCTGCATATTTATTTAAAGTTATAAGGAAGCAGTGAAGAGCCGGGGGCTTAGTTTAGTTTCGAGTGCGTGCCAATCTGGATGTAAGTGTCTGTATGCTTGTATATGGGTGGGAGAGGTGGAGGTCGCAAGGAAGCAATTAAAAACGGTTTTCAATTTCGATTCGATAAAGATGTTAATGTTGTTGGGAGAAACATCAAATTAATGTTAAGGAAGTTGATAAACTACTCTGCAGTTGACTCAGTACCATTGCTTCTTCGCTTATGTACGTGGTCTGTTCAAAAGAAAAGGTGAATTTTTTTGAAAAGTATTTATTTATTCAGCAATATAAATTTTGTGCTCTTTAAAGTAATCCCCCTCAGATATAATGCACTTATGCCAGCGCTATTTCCAATCCTCGAAGCTCTTCTGAAATGTGCTTTTCAGCTCGTTCTTCGATTTTGATTTTATCTCATCAATTGTGGCAAAACGCTTTCATTTCATTGGTCTCTACAGTTTTGGGAATAAACACAAACGTTCCAAACCTCTCTTTTAGCATCCCATCGTAACCTTACGACCTTTTGGCAAGAACTCATGATGCACCACGCAGTCTAATCGAAGAAAACAGTGAGCACAACCCTCACCTTTCCTTTTGAACAGACCACGTAAAGGGTATATACAAGTAGAACATATTTTGTTCACTTCAATTAGTTAAGATTGCTCCAATTTAGCACTCCACTCTTGTTTTACTTCATTTTTGTACTCAATCTAAGGTATTTGAAATGACAGTGAAATGTGTGGAATCTGAAATGCTTTAAGCTAGTGGCATGGATAACAATTAAAGTCCAACAAAACTAACACGCCTGTTTCTGAATTCGATGCAATTATGCGGAAGTGAAATGCTATTTTTTCAAAATATATTTTATATGCATGCAAATTACAAGTTCCAAATAATTCTAAATTATCTTTTGTATCCAAATAATATCGAATGACTTTTTACCTTTCATCACATTCTAGGAATGTTTAACCCATGAGCAGCGGAACAAGAGTGTAAGTTTGTTTAAAATTTATGCATTTCACAAACACAGACACACACACCATTTTACTTTTAGCTCATTTCCTCATTAATTATTATTATTTTCAAATAATATTTCACGTTTTCTATTTACAGATAATACCCACCGATTCCAATTATATTAGTATTAGTAATCATAATTAATCCTTTACAGCATTCTGTCCCTTTCTCACAATTGAGTACGCAGTTCTTTTGCATATTTACCTCGATTACAATACTATACTGCTTTGTAACTAATTTTGTTAAACTTTCAATTGCAGCAAGGAAACTATCGCAATCAGGAAAAATACGAGAATCTGACAAAAGAGCTGGCACAGGCGCGTGCCCATTGGGAGGAGATCGATCATGCCAAGCATCAAGCTCAATTGGCTCAAAAACGCATAGAGGATACTGCTGAAGCGTCCGATGGCGAGGATGACGAGCTGGAAGATGATGTTCAGGTGAGCAATCGACAAAACAGGCCGTAGTTCCACATCTCATATGAAGACGACGGGACAGGAGCTATGTATATCAATAATGTATTGTCAACATCTCAATTAAATTTAATGTACTATATATTACCGAAAATTGTGTAACATATTACTGAACATTTTATGAAACAAAATGCAAGAGATGATGCTGCAGTGACATCATCATCATCTTGCTCGTGGTTTTAATTAATTGTCTTGCCTGGAAATTGCGGTGACAACACAGATGAGAACGCCATAAATGCCACAGCCCACAAAAACCAAAAGACGTTGCATCCCGGGCAGCTATAGTCTGACAGGCAACGGTTACAAAAGCGGCGACATTACCTTGATTTTGATGTTGCAGACGAAAAGTCTGCGCAACCGAAAGGCCAGCCAATCATCAGCTGGTGCCAGGATGCAGCTGTTGTCCTACTGCAGTGCGTCAACACGCAGAGAAAGGTCTGCGGCACTTTGACTACCAACTACGAGTATATGTAGCGCCACCATCCACTGTCCTGGCGGCATTGACGCAAGTAAAATGTGTCTGGTCATGAGTTAAATACTTCAATAAAACGTGTGGGGCATAAAACAATTGTCTGGCTGCACCGTAGATGTATGTACATATGTATGTGTATGTGACCCTGGTCGTTTCGTAAATCAATTATCACATACATATAGTATACGTCAAAGTTTCATGGTGACAGGTCTACTAGTAAAACGAATGGAAAGCTAAAGTCACGCCACACCGACTATTGACTATCGTGATTCCAAAATGTTGTAACTTCAATTATTGGCTTTGCGTTGTTTCGTTACTTCGGACTGTAATTTCGAAGTCATTTTTCTTCACAAATGTGTTATAAGTACGAATGGTGCTTGCTATTGTTTGTGTTGAACTGTACCAAGTTATATGCATCTAATAATTTGATATCTGATTATCTATCTGATTATCTATCTGATAGCAAGGAAATAAAATGTAATGCATATTAAAAAATAAAAATTCTTGATGCGTGAATCGCACTCAGTTAAAATCCAATATATTCATAGATGGCAAAATGTACTTAATACGATAGAAAGATATCACACACACATCTTTTTAGCACGAGTAGTGAACTGGTGCTAATTTGTAATTTGGTGATTAATTTGTAACCTTGCTTGCTTGCCATGGAACGCAAAACATTTAAATTAAATTGGGGATCAGGTGTTCGTAATTTTTATTTTGCGTTGAATCTGGTTTAATACTGGAATGCGGCACCTTGCTGGTCATCCAAATATACATCATATGTCTAAATAATAGACCGTATAAAAAGAGTACAACTTGTACTCTGACAAAGGTACTGCACCTACAGGCTTCAGATGCCTTGACTATAATCGGCCAATACTTCAAAGCTGGGTACCATTTTACTCAATGCAATGGTTTGATAAATGCCTCATTGCTTCCTTGCTATCCCATACAATCGATGCATATTAATTTGTCAAATAAACTAGTCGGAAATTATGTGTTGACGCCATCGTCCTCGACTTTCCTGCAAGTCTACCACAGACAAAGTGACGACAATCTGTACGCGCCGGTGTGGCCAGACAAACATGAAAAGGCCGCGTCCAACGCTACTGGCTGCGACTGCGGCCTCTGCAGCAATAACTCAAATGATAATCACAATAAAAGAAAGAAAACGCTAAGCGCACGTAAGTATGCAACAAAAAACGAGGCGGCTTACACTCGCGTTATGCCGGAGAAAGTCAATTTGTTAAACTGCAGCCGAGGCAGACCTTCAGAGACGTTGAAAGGCAGCGCAAGCTGGAGCTGAGCCGACAACAGGGCGGCAGCTCTGAAAGTTTTTTCCATTGGACCAAGCGGCGTATGCGTCATATTAAATGGGGGGAGGCAAAAATATGCTTGGGAGGTTCTCGAGAAGGCTGTCCTGGCCCACTTTTTACCCGCCCCTCAACTGTTCTTTCGCTAGAGTTGCCACAACTTTTTTTATTTTTATTTTATTATAATAAAATTGATTTCTTGCAGCAGCCGCAGTGATAAAGTCGACGACTATGTCGGCACTTTGTGCCAAGCCACATAAAAATTAATATAAAAAGAAAAGTTTGCAATTTATTACAAATTGAATTGATTTATGCGAATGAAGCTGGCAAAGGTGACAAAGTGAAAACTTTAACACTTGCCGGGCCGCAAATTAAATTTAAGGCGCTTGATTGAAAGCGTGCTTATAAGATAAAAAGCGTGGTAGAAAAAATACGAAATATTGTGCTTGCATTAAAAATACCATAAATATGCAAGTCCACATCGCGGCTTTAAAGTTATGCGAGCACATGCGCAAAGTTCATAGAATATGGGTACTTATGGCTATACTCGTATGTACACAGCAGTTTCTACACCATGCATAAATATGCAAAAACAAAAAGTTCATGCAGAATGAAATACATGCTGTGAGCATTTTGTGCACGCAATTAAAATAACATGACTTTAAATATTTATTTTCTTTATTGTGAGAGAATACAAATTTTATCTTCTGACGAAGGTTCCTCCCTGCAATACATAATACTACTGTGATTCACCCCAAGCTTAATCGCTTGCGACTCCACAAAGTACATATATAGTCTTTTTCAGTATAACAATACCTTTGGATATACAGGGTGCGCCATCTTTTATGTCGGTATGTAAATATTGAATAACTTTGTCATTAGTGAACCGATTAACTTGAGTAGACCAGTGTTGAAAACCTCAGTTCAAGAAATTGCACAGAACCAAATTAAATAAAAATATCTCATACTTGAAAATCGGTTGTTTATTTTCAAAGATATTCAATGTTTACATACCGACATAAAAGATGGCGCACTGTAGACATGTGCGGCTGTCCGTCTAAATGAACTCAAGGATATCAGTGACTATTAGAGATACATATAATATCGAATTAGTACTCATGATAACATGATAACCCAAGCACCATAAATGTATATTTGTTTTTGATACAACCCCACACCCCTTTCCCGTACTTATGATTTTCTATAACTGCTGTAACTCTTGGAATTGTTTCCCAAAACTTGAATTTTATGATGAGGTTAGTGCTTATGTGACTTATGCCAGGATTCATCTTGACAGATCAGTTAGTACTACTATTTGGTAACGTAAAAGAACTGACAATTAAATTTGTGAGAATAATTACAGAAACGAGAGCAATAACTATGTGTTTTGTATAGCGAATAAGGGTATATGTGGCATCGGCATATCTATTTGTGTCGATATGTTTCTTTGAATTTAAATTAAACAATTTATCTAAATTGAAATACTACTGAAGAGTCAGGCTATCACCACTTTATCACTCAATGCTTGCTTAAACTCAGTTTGCGACTATGTAGCATTACTCGAACCCAGAAAATATTAATCGCGCTAAAGAATTCGGGAACAACCAACTTAGAGTTTCAAATAAATAAAGTTGCTCAAATACACTTATTGGTAGAGAAAACATTATGCTGCCTATTTCAAATATACATAGTATAGTCGGATAAGAAACACACTGTGATTGATGAATTGAAGCCTCCGGCTGAAGGTGACAGACAGTTGACACCCTCAGGCCAAACTTGTTAGTTTAAAAGTGTCAAGTGGAGAAGAGCATCAATTGAGAGGAATCTTGTGTTTCAGTTATCAATGCGCACAAAAATCTTCTCTTGCTATATAAATTGGTTTTTTATTTTAATTCTCACTTTTAATCAAATCAAGGGAACACAGACCGAACACATGTGCGTAAAAAACTTGCCAAAAACTAATTTCAAACAAGTGACAAGGGGATAGCTGCAAAAAATGTGAGTCCTTAACGCGCAGCTGTGTCCAGTCGAGTGGTGGCTCAGCTGAATCAATGTCTTGAAGAAACATAAATCAAACTTAAAGCAAAACGAACGGGACGGGGTCGTTCTTCAGGCGCTAACGACATTAACTAATGGCAGGCGAAAGGAACTAAGCGAAAATCAGAAACATGATCCCAAACCTTACCGAACTGTGTGATGTCTTCCATCTGCCACTCCCCGTCTCATACCTGATGCAGTGGAAAGAAAGAGAAATGGCAAAGAACAGACCAGAGTAAATGTTGCATCATTTAGCAATTGAGTGGCCTGGAACTGTGGCTGTAGCCAGTTAGTACAGGGTTACTGCTGGCCCCCACACCCCAAATCCACCCACACGTGGCTGCATGTGCTTGTCAAATAAATACACAATAAATGACACACTCACTCAAACAAGTCGCGGCGCACTCACAACTTGACTCAAGTGCCAACTCACTCTGGGGGCTTATTGCGACCCCCTCGACAAGAGCAGGAGCAGCAATTTTAAGTGATTGAAAGACTGCGTGAAGTCGGGATGGCTGGAGGCACACATTCACACATACATTGTACATACACATCAGCACTCTTGCCACCAATACGCCCATGTGCACTCGAAATGCTCTTAGTGCATTTGGTTTTACGCTTACATTATTTGGCATAAAAGCAACATACAGCAGGGCATGGAACTTTCATGCCCAAGTAGCGTAAGCAATGGGCGAACTGAGAGTGGCAGCTGGGAAACTGGCATATGAATATCCTGCACCGAAGTGTTTGCTCAAAATATGTTTTTATATGTGTACACATATGGGTAACTGTGTATGTCTGCAATTGTTTGAGCATGACTTGATTACGCGCAAGATGAGCAGGCAGCTTGAAGAGGAGTCTGGCTTAAGCCACTTGGCCCAAATGGAATCGAATGCCATCTTTGCAGCTTGTTGGGAACAAACCTACATTCGGCTCGATAATGAGAAACCGTTTAATGCCAAGAATCATCAACTCTATAGTAGGAGCGTTGTCCCAATCGACTAAATTTAACAGACACTGTGAAGTTTAATTTCATGATTGCTTGTCAAGTTATAATTATCGCAAATGCAAATGGATATCTTTCATATTCATTATACTTGTACTCTGTACATGAAATGTACAGAAGTATATTAGATTTGCGGGAGCTGAAAAATGTCACAGGCAGAAGG